TCGGTCGCCGGCGGCGGTCGGAGAGCTCGAACATAGAGAAGGATTTGAGAGAGAAGCTTGAGGCTGACATAGGCGGTAATGAAAAATCTTTGTCTTATCGGGTCGAATTCAATTAAGCGGGTGTCCGATGAGCTAAAACGGGCCGCAATCACTTAAGCGTGTCTCCATTTACGGCCTGTTTTCGTCGTAAATGAACGAAATGGTTAATTGTTAAAACGGCCCGCATATGGATCGTTAAGGGCCCACTATAAATTCGTGTGAGAAGCTACATTTTTTAGAAAGGAAAAAAAACCATAAAATTAAAAATCAGATAACTAGGTGGTTTGGTTTACAGTAGGACTAAGAATTGTCTTTTTTTTTTACGGAGAGCCATATTACGTTCCTTATTTACTTGCATAAAAATAAATAATAAAATATTTCTTCTGTGGTTGTTCTAAGGCACTGTTTGGCAACAAGAGATTGTGTCTTATCTAAGAGATTGTGTCTTATTGACTTGGTCAATAAGCTAGTAGAGCTGTTTGGTGACAAAAAATAGAAGGAGATTATTTTGGAGATTGTGTCTTTTGTAAGTAGCTTTTGGAAAGCTACTTCAAGTAGCGTTTGTCTTTGAGAAGGAGCTGCTAATTTTTTTCTTCCATTTTTGCCCCTAATAATTCTAATTTTATATCAATAATATTACATGTTCTTTTTAGTCATTTAACAAATTTAAGCTAGTTATACAGCTACTTTTGCCAAACAGCTCTAGTCAATCAGCTAGCTACACAGCTAACAGCTTTCAGCTATAATTTCACAGCTTTCGGCTAGCTTAACAGTTTTCAGCTATAATCTCGCAGCTTTCAGCTAGTTTTGCCACTGTTTGGCAAAACTAGCTGAAAGCTACGAGATTATAGCTGAAAGCTGTAAAGCTAGCCGAAAGCTGTGAAATTGTAGCTGAAAGCTGTTAGCTGTGTAGCTAGCTGATTGACTAGAGCTGTTTGGCAAAAGTAGCTGTACAACTAGCTTAAATTTGTTAAATGACTAAAAAAGACATGTAATATTATTGATATAAAATTAGAATTATTAGGGGCAAAAACGAAAGAAAAAAATTGGCAGCTCATTCCCAAAGACAAACACTACTTGAGATAGCTTTCTAAAAGCTACTTGCAAAAGACACAATCTCCAAAATAATCTCCTCCTATTTTTGGTCACCAAACAGCTCTACTAGCTTATTGACCAAGTCAATAAGACACAAGCTCTTAGATAAGACACTTTTTTTGGTTGCCAAACAGTGCCTTAAGTCTTTTATACAAGGAGACGTGTGAAATGATTTATTTTGTTTTTTGGTGGGGTTTCTGGCGGAGCATCCTTCCTGTTAAAAAGGAAAATATCTAAACAACCTTGACTGAGACTTTCATATATTTAGGTGTCATATTTTTACTGTTTAACTGAACTTTATTTTGATTTAATGTGCTCTGACGTTCATATTCGCTCATCGTGTGTCATAACTAGCAACCTAAATATATCCTACTCCTTGTAATGAGATATTAAATACCATTAGCAAAAAATATTTACAATAAAATGAAATAAAATATCTAAACAACCTGAAAATGATGCTTGGTGCACCGTAGCCACTGAGGTCGCAATTGCGTACATGTAGGATACCTACAATAGCTGCAAAAGACAATAAACATTTTCAACCACAACTGCAACTTTACTTACAAAATCGAAAGAGACATGGAACATACACCTGCACAACAATTTATCAATTGTGAAATTCTAAATCTGAACCACAACTGTACGTGACGACAGTCCCAGTAGCAGCAGTTGCATACAATTGACAGCTGTATCGCAATTCTAGTCGCAACAAACCAAAGAACTACGAAATATGAGCTACATTACTTGGCTTGTTGACTGATTTAAACCGAATCAATCACCAACCTCGAAGTAAACTGTTCTTACATAAGTTTTCAGACTGCGGCAGAACTTGAACAGAGACTCATTGACACAACATGGGAGCTACAAGCAATCCAAACAAACGCGAGGGAGGAGATAAAGAAGAAAGATGATCAAATCCAAACCCTTCCCCATTTGGTCCAAGTAACCTTCCAAGAGAGAGAGAGGAAGCAAGAGATCAGCTCAATCTTCCGCTACAGAAATTACAATCCAGAGCCAAGTCCACCATCACAGAATTTCTGTCACTCTCAATAATAATGAATCTTATGTCTCCTCGCCAGATTCTGAGATGTCACACATTGATCCAGCTTTGACGAGATTCAATCAGATTGTTAGCGAGAGGGCTTTACCGGAGAAGGGGAAGCTTCTGGATGCTGTGATGAGAGTTGGGCCAATGCTGCAGAGTTTTATGATTGCTGGGCCACTTCCTCAGTGGAAGAATCCGTCGTTGTTGCAGCAAAATAAGATACTTCCAGTATCGGTTTAAGGGTCTGAATAATTCTCAGACTCTCAATCCGACTACTACTACTACACGAGCTCAAATCCTTTGCAGTGTGAACTGATTCATGATATCCTTTGAATGGCTTGGTTTATATTGATAGATTGAGATTTTTGTTTAGAGAGAATCACTAACTTCAGGCTTATTTACGCAAACTAATGGCCTATGGGTATGGGTATTGATGGATGAGGATGTATTCTTTCCTTTGTAATAAGCCATTCCCAGTGAATTTTGACTGCAGATGTCCCTTAAGATTTCTCAATGTCCTTTTATCAATCATCCATTTGAAGTCTTTCTTACTTGTAAATATGTGTAATTTTAAGGGCTGTTACATACGCTGCAATTGTAAACAACGTAAATGTTGCATGTAGGAAATGTTGAATACAACATTAGTTAACTTCAAAAAATTAATTAATTAATTAATAAATACAACATTAATTGCACGAAACTACCTTGTTGGCTAGAAAAGGAAATATCTACAATAACATAAATTTGTGTCCTTTGTACTTCTCAAATTATACAACCCTGATCATAGACTCCTACTTGTCCTAAAATATGTTTACCCGCAGCTCGAAACAAATATGGTATGCACAGCAGTTATACAGTTCCAATGAAATAAACTGAAGAATCGCTGAACTGATACAAGAGTGGACTAAAATATCTCTTCTTAGAATTAACACCCCTTTCCAAATTGGAGCACGTATGACAACCAATAAGGCACAAATATTAAACAAACAAGGAAAGGGGGAAAATTAGAAAAGAAGAGTTAATTGCACATATATACCCCATAGTATCGTCGTTTTGAACTTGCTACCCCTGCAGTTTAATAGACCCCCGGGTTAGTTCTTTGATTATTCAACCCTGGGTGAAATATATTGCCCCTGGGTGAAATCTTGACATATTTTGCCCGTGGGTGAAATCAGGTGAGTCTATCTGATGGTAAAAGAGTCAAAAAGAAACTTCATCTCATGGAGTCTATTTGCAACAATGAAACTACATGAGTCGTAAGTTCAGACCAACGATACTACAGGGGATCTATGTGCCACCCAAAAAAAACACTCCAAGGTCTCCCTGAGTTAGGACGGCATGCACCAACTTTACTTACTCTACTGAGATTTCACATTAACAATCGCAATACAAAACCATACACTAAAAAAGCATACCTAATTGTACATAATTAGGAAATTATCTATTAACCAAGGCATGAAAATAGAGGAAGATGTGCTACACTCATAAGTCATTCATAGCGTAAAAGCACCAGTATTCTGCCGTGAACATAACTGACAATATATATTTCAAAATTAAAAATGGAATCAATACAATTCATATAGAAACTCACATAACTACCACATAACCAACAATCAATTCATTTTTGACATACAAGGCAATGTTATTTAAGAACAGCTAAAAGTTAGGAAGATTCTGAAATGTACTTGATTGGAGTTCTACAGAAGTAATAAATCTCATGTCAAACTTAGTGCCATTTGTTTCAGTGTTCGTAATGTGGGATATTGATATCACAATAATTTTATATTTTTTTCTTAGAGAATACAAGTGTGCAAAAATGAATATACGTGACTGTTCAAATATTGAAGTAGACATCCATACATAAACAGAAGTTGTATTCAGACAGAATGTAGGCACCAACATATCACCAAAAAGTTGCATAGGAAAATAGGTTAGACCTTTAAGGGTCTTCCTTACTTAAAAGTGAACAAATATGGAAAAATATGGGTATTCAATGGCAGCTCATTTTATTAAATGCAACTCATTTTATTAATGTGCTGCCAACAGATAGACTAGTGGCGAGACTCATCCTGTATAGTTGCATCGAAGCAGGTGGACCTCACCACCGCTATCTCTTGACAATGCATTTTGCTAAATGAGATGAAAACTCAAGCCCAATGTCTCTTTATTCTTAATCAATATCTAGCATCATGTAACATTTGATATGCTCTAATAAATACATATTCCTATGAACATATTTGAAATAGCTTGCCACTACCATATTTGTGCCCATACTTTGAACAGAACATAATTGGATATTAACATTCATTACTAAGTGAATGCAAATCAGTTATGAACCTAATTCTCTGTATTAGCCTTGTACTCCTTTCATAAATATGGGCAGGGACCACGAGACAGTTATCTTGCATCTCACTAACTGCTTAATTTACTTTCTCATACTGTTAATGCTTCTCTGGACATCGCATGACGATAACGAAGCACAAACACAAATATGGAGTATGGATAAACAACAAGGTAACGATAGTTGGCTACATGACAGAAATTTTAAAAGTACACCAGACAAATGTAGCACATTGACAAGTACAACAAAACAATGCATAAATATATTTTATTTACACCAGATACACCACAGATACTATATAATAGATAAAACACAATAAAGTATGCAATATACATTTTCATCACGACAACACGTGTGGGCATGGGTTTATGTTCGTCATTTGTGTCATGAATCAATAAGCTTAGGATGGTTAAGAGAATATGTTTTATGAAATATTTTGGGTTATGTAATTCGAGAATTGCATGAACAAGGTTATGTATGATCATCACAAAATAACATTGCAATACCATATCATAATGGATGTATGATCCCAGCTGCATAAACATTTAATAAATTAAAATGTATAAAAAGCAGCAGACAGTTTTAGCAAAAATATACATCAAGGCAATGGGACTACTCATAAGAAATTAAGAATAAAGATCTTTCCATAAAAAAACAAAAAGAATCAAATTTACCCTCATTGACTTCTATCTTCCTCTTGGATCCATCAACTGTGAGAACACCCTACTTGTGGGCACATCCGTTCCGCTGCTGACAACGCTAAAACTATCATGATTTGAGTCCCCAATTTCTTGAATCCAATCAGGAATATCCTTAATCTCATTCATACTACTCTCATCTCCAACATTCTTCATAAAAGACTCCTGAAGCTGAAGAGCATACTCCAAGTTCCACAATACATCTCCCATTGTTGGCCTCTCTGCACCATAATCAGCTAAGCATTTCTCTGCAGCCTCGCCAAACTTCCTCAAAGAATTTAGACTCACTGTGCCAACAAGATGGGGATCAATTGCTCGCTCCAATTGACCTTTTTTCTGCCAACTCATAGCCCATTCCACTATATTGATCTGTTCTCTTGGGAGTGATGGATTGATTGCTGGCCTGGCACACAAAACCTCCAATAGAACAACTCCAAAAGAGTACACGTCTGATTTCTCTGTCAATTGCTGCCTTCTGAAGTATTCAGGATCAAGATAACCGAAGCTTCCCTTAACTGCGGTACTTACGTGGGTCTGATCTACAGTAGGACCCAACTTAGACAAACCGAAATCAGAAACTTTGGCAGTTAGATTCTCATCGAGAAGAATGTTGGTGGTCTTAACATCTCGATGGATGATTGTCTCTTCAGCGCCAGTGTGAAGGTAATGAAGACCCTTTGCAGCTCCAATACAGATCTCGAGCCTTTGTTTCCATGATAGACAAGGGAGATTCGAGCCATACAAATGTCTACGGAGAGGACCCCCAGCCATGAAATCATAGACGAGAACCATCTCATTAGGTTCGTGACAGAAGCCTATAAGAGAAACAAGGTGTCTGTGTCGAAGCTTTGATAGCATCTCAATCTCCGTCCTGAACTCAATTAGTCCTTGCTGGGATCCAGGGTTTCCTCGTTTAACTGCCACAACGAGGCCATTCTCGAGTACTCCTTTGTAGACTTTACCGAAGCCACCCACACCTAAAACCAAGCTCTCATCAAAATTCTTTGTTGCCTCTTTTATCTCCATGAACGCCAATAGTCTACTAAAAGAGAGAGAAGGTCCTGATGAAGCAAAGCTACCAAGAGATATCTTAGTTTCAGAGTTGCCAGTGTGAGTATGAACAGCCATTGGTGATGGTAACCATGTTGAACCTCCACTTTCATCTCGGGTCTTCTTCCTATGGCGAAAATACAGTACAAAAGCCGCAATCAAGATCGCCAGGAGAATTGCTCCTCCCAAAAAAGACACAATGACAATCGCCAACAAATTATTTTTATTCTTATCCTTCTTCACCTTGACACCAATAGGATTTTCCCCTTGAGATCGATCAAGACTACCTTTCGAATTGCTAAACTTCAAAATCTCTAGACCGTTAAGGATTGCATTAGGTAGGGAGCTTGTTATCTGAGGAGGACCTATCTGAATCAGAATCTTCTCTATCTGAACTTCCACTATGAAATCCACAAAACAAGCAGTTGATAACCCATTAGCCTTGTGTGAGATATCGAAAGAACTAAGAGCAGATTGGTTATTGATGTACACATTAAAGAGCAAGTTTCCTACATTGTGGCTCAAAATGTCGCAAAAATGCAGTCTAATCAAATATCTGAACCCTGAATCCACATCAAACACCCAAGATATGTTAAACCTCTGGTTTCCGACATTTGCATCAGCCATTTCTTGCGCAGTTGCGTAAACCAAATTTGGTGCAGTATCTACAGAAACCCTAGACGAGTACTTTATTGAATCAGGATCAGTTGAAATAGCAATCGCCGAAGCCGAATTAATCAAGAATTTCCCATCAGGCTTCCAATCTCTCCACAAGCCATCATTTTTAGAACTTACATATGGACCTCCCATGTTAATTCTATGAAGGGTCTCAAAAGCAATATTACCAGAGATCTCAACTGGTTCATTTTCAGAAATCGAAGAGCCCGTCGCCGGAAATACTCGATCAGGCAAAGAAATCACCTCTATTCCATTTACAAACGCAATTGAACCACTAGAAGGAACCAAATTCACAACCAATGGCTTTGAATCCAAACCCAAATCCACAATATACTCCTTCAACACAACAGATTGGTCAAGACCCAATTTTGAATAGGAGAAATCATAAAGAAACGTGAACCCATTTGCGCCCACCGTAAAAGTTGCATCCTTGAGGTTATAGATTGGACTACTAACTGGGTAGAAGTGAAGCCTTAAGAAATGCCTACCCTTTTGTTGGATTTTGAAACTGTAATCTGTAGCTTGAGTAAATACCCTAGCACTTCCATAGAGATCCAAAGGCTTTGTATCACTATAGACTACATTGTGTGAAGCTGGAGTCAGAAGAAAAAAAGAAGATGAACCTGGGTTTTTGTCTGGTTGAAAAATCCTGCCATCTTCAAGCTTGAGAGCGGAGTTTCCTCCACAGTTGAGCAAGAAGTTGTCTTGAGGCGTGAAGGTGCCATTAATGGAGTTTAGGGTCAAAATGAGGGCGATGAAGAAAATGGGGATGTGGGTTTTGGGATTCATGGGCTACAGAGAGAGAGAGAGAGAGAGAGAGGGGAGAGAAATGGAGGCCAATGGGGTACTGCAGGTACGCTTCCCAAGAGAGTGGTGCAGAGAGAGCGAGGAGTTGAAAAGGGTGTTTGTTTATTTTGCTTTCAAAAAACATAGAAATTTTGAGGAGGCAGAGCTCAGGCGAGAGAGGGTGGTGGGGTGTTCAATATGGGCCTTTGTTTTATTAGCGAAAGACAACTAGCGAAGTTGGGCCATGGGTTCTAACTACCCCTCGTCCACCGTCCATGCCCACAATGTCTCCATTTTATATATTTTACAATATATTTTATGCTTTCGGAGGACATTTTTCTTTGAAATGTGTTCGTGAGAGAGTTATCGGTTCTGAAAGATATTAAGGTAACTGGAAAGATGATTCGTAGCTTTTAATATTCATGTTGAGCGAAGTTTTTTTGCTTGTTACCCCGGCTTTTTTATAGGTTCCTCTTATGAAAATGTTTAAGGGAGCGTTTGGCAATCATGACGTTTTTGTCGTTTCTGTTTTTTTTCAACGAAAACAAAGAAACACGTTTGGCAACCGGGGCCCTTTACAAAATCTAAAAACTAAACACTTTTCTCAAAACACCAAAAATGTGTTTTAAGATTCTGTTTTTTCATCTAAGCGGGAGCGTTTGGCAATCATGACGTTTTTGTCGTTTCTGTTTTTTTTCAACGAAAACAAAGAAACACGTTTGGCAACCGGGGCCCTTTACAAAATCTAAAAACTAAACACTTTTCTCAAAACACCAAAAATGTGTTTTAAGATTCTGTTTTTTCATCTAAGCAGTCGCAGCCCG